TCTTCTCCTTTAATTGTAATCTTTAGTTCTTTCTGGTTCCCTCTAGTGTCCAATCTTCAAAGTCCCATCCTATCATTTGTTTTTTTAAGAATTCAAAACAATAGTATTTTCCCATAGGAAGGATTCTTATAATTAATTTCAAAATCTTACTTCAAGTCTATCTGGACCCTTAGTCTATTTGTAACTTTCCAAAATCAATGTTCTGATCACTCTTTTGCTGTTTATTCCAAAAAGAAAAAAAAAAGATTTTTTTTAAGTCCTTAAACTTGTAGTTAAAACTTGTTTCATTAAAGATTGAAGGAAACTCACCCAGTGCTGTAAAACTTGTCAATCCAAAGGTTCCTAATAGCTAAAAATCAGTTAAGAAGCAATTTCCAAAAGTGATTAGGAAAGGAATTATGCAAACCCAGGGTCCTTTTAAAAGCGCCGGCCATGGTTTGAGCAAGGTGGCTATTCCGTCATCTCCCAGAGCTCTAAATTTGCCAGAGACCACTGTCTTGTGTTCTCCTCATGAGGAGAAATTGTCTGGAGCACTTGTGGGAGATTTCAAGCCCTCTCCTTGTCCAGAGAGGAATTATGAAGAGCCAGGCTACTCACTGGCTCTTCATTCCACCGTGGTCATTTGCTCCATTTTTAGTAGAGCCATCTTCAGTTCACCATTTCTTCCCTGGAAGTGGGAAGATATGGACCTACTCTGAAATGAGATTATAATACTAAGGTTAATTCTTCATAAATTAGAAAAAAACTAAGGACTGGTAAGCAGAGGAACAAATTTCAAGCTTCTGATGCCCCTTGTAATATGTCTGTTCTCTCATTTATACTGAAAATATGAGCAACCAATGGATATGCTGAATGCATTTTTTTTCACATGTAAAATTTGTGGAATGAGAATTGTTGTGGGTGTTCTATAGAATTGCTGAAAAAGGAAGGTTCTTGTGAGCATACATTCTGATCTACCCCATGATCATTTTTGTATGATGGTCATCAACCTATTCTTATTGCTACAAAAAGCTACCAAAATACTTATGGAAATGAAAAGATGAACCATAAATACAAGGAATAACTTTGACTTATCAGTGGTTACAATTATTTGAGATTTTATTATCCAGCTGTTTCTTTAATACTGTATTTCAAAATTGCTATTATTGTTTTTTATGACACAGCTTTCCAACTAAATTATTAAAAAGAAGTGCCACTGAAATCAATGAGACAATTAATCATGATGAGTAACTGAAGTCCTATTAATTTCAGTGGAATATAGTTATGACTTAGGATAAATGCTACCCATGAATTCCAGATACAGCTGGCTTAGAAAGGTAGCATATAAATATATTAAAGGAATAGATTTAATATAATACAAATAAAGTACCATTTACATTCTGACACAAGTAATATGTTATTTTATTACAGTTTTCAAAGCATTCCTTATTTCAGAGCTCTTCAAGCACTGCAATATGATGCAGTTTTGTTTTGTTTTTCTTCAGTCTTAATCCTTTGAAAAAGAATAGAAGAAAAGCTGGACTTTTCCAGTGCCATAAAGAGGGAAAAATATTTCTCCAGAAGGATAACTTGAATTGGTCCTTCCAGATGATAGTGAATGTTATGAACAAAACCGGTTTGAAGTCCAGCATTTTATAATGGAGAATTCTGATATTATGTAATATACAAAAGACATAGATGTCCATGTAACACTGCTGCTCTGCAAGCTGCATTAGTTGCCAGTGGGATTCAGGTGCAATTCAAGGTGCTGGTTGTCATTTTTAGTGCCATCATCAGATAGGGCCTGGTTACTTGAAGGATCACCTACCTTCATTTTTTCTGCCTGTCCAGTAAGATCAGAGAGAGTGGGTGTGCTCTAGGTCCCCTCAATTAAATAATGTCATTTACTGGGACCTAGGAAGTGTGCCTCTGACCCGGCACCTGCCCTCTGGTATATCTCTTCAGAGATTGTATGGCTCTCTCCCTAATGTTGTTCCAGAAGTCTTTGCAAACGTGGCTGTTCTCCCAGGCCTTGGGGCTAAGCCCCTGGCCCCTAGGTGTTATATTATTTTTTATGTTATGTTATTTTTAATTTATGACTGGGTGTCTATGACTTATTTCTTGTTTTTTATTGTTCTTGCTTTAGCTATCCTTCCTTCCTTTCTGAGGAAAGTGAAAAACAAAGAAACTCAGAGTGTAATGGTATAACGTTCTAGAGAAAAGAGAAGCCAAGGCATTTAACCTAGGTTTGTTTTCACCATTATTCTGTTTCTTTATTATGTTTAGTTTCAGCCACAGCTAAGCCTTGATAAAATGAAAGACTGAGCAGGTTTAAAAGCAATAGTGACAGTGGTAATACAAAACTAGACAGCCAACCGCACCCACTCCTCAATATTACCTGTGACAACTTGAGTAAGAACTGATGGGAAAAAAATCAAACTAAGTAATTTAATATTTCTTGAATGGTTTATGTTTCCCATAACTCTCATAGTGAACCATTTATTCAAAGAACATACTGGCAACAAAACAGAATGAAATTTAACTACAGATTTTTATGACCTTTAAAAAAAAAACCTGGTGATTATTTTCCAACCACAGCTTTGGGGCATGACATATTATTCAACAAAATACTCTTTCTTTGAAACAGATTCCTTCAAATATGATTAAACCAAGAAAAATAATTTCATGACTCTATACTTTGAAAATGATAAAGCTGCTACCTAACTATATTTCTCCCCAAATATCATATTTCTATCCTTATTCTTGGCTATCAAGTTAATTTATATATTCATTTCTGTGTGAAATCTTTCTTTCATCTTTTCATGTAAAGTGTGGGTAATAACTGACAAAATATGATAAAAAGCGTGGATCCAGAGATAGCCACTAGAGGTGCTGTTGTGCAAACATTGCACTGGAGTAACAAAAGACTTTCCACAACATAGGAAGTTGGTTCAGAGGCTGGACTGAAGTAACCTACTGCCCCAGCATGCAGAGCTAAAGGAAGATGGTAGACCTATCCTTCAACAAAAGCTATTGAGCAGGACATTTCCTAGCCTTGGTGTTGCATAAGCATGCATTTTAATAAGTTGTACAAGACTCTATACAATCTCTTGTACCATGTCTTATGCAAACATCTGCTTTTAGGGATACTCTGCTGGGTTTCTGTTTTCTTTTCTCACACAAAGATCTCGTGCTTGTCAGAATGTGTGCTTCCACCTATAAAACTACATTTTTGGAAACAATACTTTTGTAAAAGAGACCACAGTAAAAATCAAAAACTAAAAATTTTAAGCTAGCATGCTCTATGTTCTGACAGTATCTAATAGCGATATTCTATGCAAGATGTGCACTAAAACAACTAAATACATTTAATATTTTTTCCTTTTCAAACAGTGGTTGTAAACACATTAACTGCTATGTTAATGGCTTTTGAAAAAAAAATTAAATATATCTGAATTTCAACATTCTTTCTATTAGCAAGTGATAATATTTGCATGTTTTCCATTTTATGAGAATTTGAAGGTGAAAATCTATTTTGTATAAGCTTCTGCATGATTTGTTAATAGAAGAAGCAGCATTATTTTTATTGCGTGGTTTAGTAATGCATGTTCTTTAATCCAAGGGGGAAAAGAGAGAAAAACATGCTGTTTACTGAAAGGTAAATTGTTATTTCAAGCAGCTTTCTGTTATACAACTTCTAACCTGGCAAAGGATCACAGCCTATACCCTCTTCAGAACCTAGTTATCCCATGTGAAATTGCACTTACCTGCCTGGTTTGTGGTTACATTGACTGAAACAAATTGCCGTGCAGCTGGACTCTGGTCGGACACACCATTCACTGCCTCAATTTCAAAGGTATAGTTTGTATGAGCAAGCAGGTCTACCATCATCACAGAGGTGTTTTTCAGGTCGCTTTGTTGTGGAAGATACCTGACATGACTGCCACATGCCTCACAGAGCCCTGAGTGCGAGTTGCACTTCTTGCATGCAATATAATAAGATACATCTTTCCTTCCACCAGTATCAGCAGGAGGAATCCATTCCAGAAAGACACTAGTCTCGTTAACATTTGAGATGGCACTCCGAGGAGCAGAGGGGGGTCCTGGTATGTAAAGTGAGAAAAATATACAGTAAGAATCAGATTCAAATCCCAAGTTCCTATCTAATATTTTCAAAGATAAAAGAATTATTAACCAAATCCTCTATAAGGATTGGAGCTATGAGCCTTTGGATCCCAGACTGGAAACACTTCAGCATCCAACACTTTTGTATCTGCGCTCAGAGATTAAGGCAGGACTTTCCAAACAGGGCAATGGGAAATCCAGTAGCCTACCAACAGCCTAGCTATTCTTTTAGGACATGGCTAATTTACCAATATATTTCAAATTTACAAAGCAGGAATATTCCTTAACAATGAAAGCAAACATTCAAATAATACTCCCCCAAAATTTGTCCTCTGTTTTCCTAAATATTTTCTTCCTTTGTTAAAAAGACTTCTGGTTTTCTACCTATTCTCAGTGTTTTAGAATTACTTTAAAAGTTTATTGGTGTTATGTTTGAACTTCCTTGTTGTGAGAATGCCACAGTTAAGGTTGTTTTCTGTTATTCTTCTCTGCATTACACTGCAGCTTCTTTGGATGTTCATATATTCTGCTCTGCAAACACACTATGAGAATTCTCTCATAAAGCATTCGTTTAGGACTGAATGGAAGCAGGGGAAGCCAGAGGGGAGGCAGCCAGAGAGATGATTATTCAAGGAAAGTTAGAGCATTCATATGTGTTCTCAGCTACCTTATACCTCAAAGAAGTGCTAGAATTGTGCATTCAGCGCAAAAAATCCACCAAAGTTTCCTCCTTTGAAAAGAATTGTATTAGTAATTTCTTTTCAGTCACATGGTTTCTAGCCTGCGATACTTCAGAAAGCAGTAAGAACAGTAAGTCTACTTAACAATTCCAGAAGAAGAATGCATTGTATCAATAAGTCCTGTCTGAAATCAGCCTTTGTTTCTGAACGTAACACCAAGTAACCTATCTCTCGAATACCTATGATCTTGCTGTGAGCATCTTAGGTCTGCCCTGTCTCAGAGATGACTGCTACCCAATTTATATGAAGCATTTACACATACACCACAAAATAGTAGTGCACTATAAGGGGAAATTGGAATGAATTAACTATGGGCCCAAATTTACATGTATTTTCTAATGAGCAGTATGGCAAATTCAGCCAGAAGCAAATGGGAGCCTTGAATTCTAAGCTGCAGCTAAAGTAACAAGGCAATAACAAGATAAGTGAAAGTGTTAACTACAAGAATGCAAGGTAGCCATAGAAGTTTACAAGTGCTAGAGGACTGTTAGCATTAAGCGCTCGGATCCAAATTTCCTTTGATAATGATTATGTTAAAATAACTAGTTATAATTCTAAGATTCTTTATTTAAATTGAAGACCCTATTATGTAGGGGAAGTATGATTTCATTTATCCATCCCTCATTAAATATTTTAATATGTATAAGAATTAACTCAGTCAGGTTAATTTTATCAATCACAATGACTGCTATGACATACTGCATCATTGTTAATTAACTGTAACTGGATGTAACCATTCAAATGAAAGTAATGATTTGCA